CATGTAACACTGTTTTTATAAATATTATATAAACACTGTAAATATATATGGAAACTATAGTTACAATTGATATAACATAAAATAGTAGTAATTACATAATAATGATATTATCATAACAAAGAAATAGTATTCAATATTGTCTTAAATAAAAATTATGAATAATATTAATAATCGAAATAGAAATATTATATTAAAGTTGAATCTTGTAACATAGTTTAATTTTGCATTTAGATATGTTAAATGCTCAAAAGAAGTTTGTATATCTTCCGCATGTTTTAGTACAATTAATAATGTAGGAATCAGGCTTGGTAGGCTCTGCATACACTAAAACAATCATATAAGAAAACTTTTTTCGTCATGTTTAAATTAATTAGAATAGAATATACAAAGGAAAGTGAAAAAATTATCTTTGTTATAGAAGAGTTCTTTAATTTTAAAGGATGTAGTATACTTTTAAAATACTCTTATGAATACGTATATATACATATAGTATTTACTTGATATAAAAATATCTAAAAAAATTATTAACCTTATGCGTGTTTAGTAGATTTTATGTTAAAGTTTAAAAGTGTTGAAAATGGCACATATTTAACAAACTAATTCATACTTTTAACATAAATTACTGATATCAGCCTTTGAATCTGGGCTCAATGAGCTCCAATGAGTATTAATACACCTCTGTACTTTTAGTTCAGAATTAGTGACAACATTAGCATCACATATTTTATCAATTTCATAATGTTCCTGTACTAATTTGTCTATCCATTGATCCAAATTAGAATTGACGTTATTTTCATCACCAGTATTACTATATGCAGTTCGTTCACGAAAATTTACAGAGTGTAACAAATGTGACCACTTTTTGCTCATTTCTTCGGTAACATCGTAACTATCGCCAGATGCATTATTTACTGTTTTAGCTTTTTCTTGTTCAATTTTTTTATTCTTCCAGTATCCTAATGGAGTTACTAAAAACTTCATTTTCGCTACTGATACAGAGTCAGTAACTAAAAATAAATGCCATGTACCTACAACCAGGTGTTCACTGAACTGTGGTTTGACATACCCTGTCTGAAAACACGTGAAAAGATATTAATTATTTATATCACAAAAACCTTTGAGTAAAATATTGTTAACAAAAGGATCTGTATAATTACTAATGTCATTTCTTCAAGTTGTATGTAATTAATATCCGCTAATCGTCCATATGGGTCCACCCACAGTATTGATAAATTTTGTGGTGTTGTAATTCCAGAATCAAATTCGTATGATAAAATTGGGTATGAGTATGGTCCTATACTTCCCATTAGATTTCTAAATGTCTTTTCCTTTTGATCATAATCAGTATTTACTGACAAACTTTGTATTTTTCCTAACCATTCTCTACTAGTAGAAAAGTTATGTCTTAAATAGACTAAAGTTTCTATCTGTTGCATAAGTTTTTGTTGAACTACTGTCTGCTTTATTGCAGCCTCCGCATGGATTAATATACCAATAAATTGATTTTGTTTGAAATAAGCAGTTATTTCTAGGAGATGAATATCTTTGTAATTTATTTTCAATTTATTAAAAACTAATCTGGCTAAGGAATTTGCAACAGTCAGTTGTGCATCATCGGTCAAAGGACTCAAATCTGCTGTATGATACAAACTTTGCCAATATGCATCATAACCTTTAGCTATGACGGTTTCATTTATTTTTTCAGGGTATAACCATTCTTCTACTCTGTCTATAATTCTTTGATCAATAATAGATTCAAATTTTCGAGCAAAAAATAAATTCCGATCAATGGTATTCCGAATTCTACTAAAGTCCTCAAGTTTAAAATCATTTGGACTACAGCCACACCAATCAACTACAGCTTTATATTGACATTTACAACCCAATTTTCTTTTCCAGTTGGTAACATGTAAATTATTATCTATATACGTATTACAAAATCTAGAATTACGTAACACTGTATGAAAAAAGGATTCAGCCGGAAGTAAAGTATATTTAAACACTTTTAAAAGATCGGTCACTAATGCATCTGGATTTGAATTAGCAACATACTCCACAAAATCTCTGCTTAAAGCTACCCAATCACTACCACCATCTATCTGAATACCTACAAAAAGGTTGAGCTTTCATTAAAATCGTATTATATGAATAATCTTAAAAACAAATAAAAAGAAATACTTTACCATTTGGTAACTTTCGATCACCTATTCTCCACATACGAGTTTCACATTCCACAAAAGTTTTATCTAAACCTTGTTTAGTGATAAAGCGTTGAACTTCTCTCCCATGCGATTTTACAAAATTCATACCTTTATTTAAACTCAGGAATTGAACTAATTGTGCATTACTTTTTATAGGAAAGTCAGACTCTGATAAATTCACAAGAAAATCCCAATGATGATGATGCGCAAGCATTTGTTCTGCAGACTTTAGAAAAGTTGTTAAAAGACTTGCACCTCCCCAAATGCTTGCATGCCGTAATCCTTCTCCTCTTGCTATTTTAATATTATTTGTTTTACAAGATTTTTCCACTTCTAACATTTCTCTATAGAGATAATCTTGTCTCTGAAAAATTATAATAAAAATTATAATAAAACATATTTCTTCTAAATTTGAAAACAAAATTATTTAATTACCGCGTCAACATGGATATAAAATAAATGTGAAGGATGATAAAGAACACTAATAAGTCGTTTAACTTGTCGACTCGCTCTGCCATTTACTGTTAGTAAATAAGCTATACGGACAGATTTCTCATTCTCACTTTCTGTACTTGCATTTCTAGCTTCCTGTGCTTTGAATCCTAACAATAACAAAATAATGGTTCTATATATATATATAGATATATATATATATTTGTATTTTTAAAAACTATAAATAACTTTTATATATTTCTAGTGAACTAATTTGTTTAGTTTCTTACTTTGAATTCCAGTCCAAAATACATTAATAGTCAAATATCCTCCACAAGAATATTTTGGATTACCAGGACACTTCATGTTACAACTAGAATCTGGTAGTCGTTTTAGTTGTGGCGGTTTTTCTATTCCACAGAAACATTCGACACTGGAATTAAACATTCATAAATTATATCTACCAAAATATACAAAAATTATATAATTTCAAGAGAACATACATAGTTTTATTTTATTTCTTCTTATCTCGTATTTTTCACATGGTACTAAGTTTAGCTGAAATTTTTTAAAAATTAAAGAAATTCAAGAAATAAAATTTGAAAACTAAATTTTCTGTTTAATATAACTAGAAAAAATAGAAGACAATACATTTAAAAGATAATATAAAATTTTGAAATGTACTGGAACATTTTGAAAGTATTTAACATCTAATATCAAAATTAAATTTTATTTTATTATATTCTATCATTTGAGAGTGATTAAATTAAATAATTATTCATATTGTTCGAATGACTCTCAGTTGAAACTTTGTTATATAATTAAACGATTACAATGTCATTTAAAATATTACTATTTTCTAAATAATATTATGTAAATAAAATATGAACTAACATATATTTTATAGAAAAAATATTACATTTCAGCTATGCATATTTTCCTTAGTAAAAGGATTTCTGTAATATTACATTTTTAAGACTTTATATACAATTAAGAAGTTTTTGTTAAAATACCCGATTAATAACAAATCGAAACTATCTGTTCAACAATCCAATATTAAAATTAATTATACTTACGAATATTCTGTCCCAGCATATGAATATCCTGACTGTAGACATAAGAAAGCACAACGATCTGGAGAATTGTTCCCTTTAAAAACATGATAATAACCAGAGAGTACACGCAATGTTTTATCATCTTTAAAACATCCCAAACTGACAGGTTTCTCTATAAATCCTGGAGACTGAGGACATAGAGACTGTATTCTTTCTGGATATAATAATCCTTGTTGATTAAGGCACGTCACATTGACAATGCGCTGTTTGCATGTTTGGCTTTGGGCACGTGTTACAGCACTCACTGCTTCTCTGCCATTAAATTCACAAGATGGTATAAAGTTTAATAATTTATGATCTAATTTTATTCTAGTAGTTTGGTTTCGCTGAGATTGTAAAACCTTATTCCCATTTGTTTGCTTATCAGGTGGAAGCTTCAATTGACGCAAACCTTTTGGTAAACCTTCATCTTCTTCAAGTTGAGATACATCATCCTGTATAATAGCATTAGGAAGAATTAATTTTTTATTAATCACTAACAACTAACATATATTATACAAATAATAATACAATATCTGAAATTTACCTCTCCTGAAGACAACCGACTAGATTTTCGATTTCGAATTTCCAAACCAAAAAACGTATGTGCTAAATAAATTTGTATACACAGCACAGTAATACCAAATAGAAAAAGTACTCGATATTTTCGTAAACAACTAGATGATCTACTTATTGAGTGACTCTTTGTTATAACCATTTTTATTGTTCTAATTCATGTTAAGTGTGTTCCTTGAATTTTGCATAATTTCATAATTGTCATAACCAAAAACAAAGGCAATCTTTCATGAGAATTTGAAGGAACATGTTCTATTCATGCATTCGGTCTTACGTGTAATATTATGTTCACAGTTACATGTTATGTGCAATATAGATGTGTACATATATTCATATAAATATATATATATGTATATATATATTTATAAATATATATATTTTTCTTTTTTATATGTACATTTTATATAACAATGCGTAATTAAGAAAACGAGTTAATAAGAAATGTAAGTGCATGTTCATTGCACTACTTTATAGTAGATTTTCATTACTGTTGCCAATACGTATTAAAACAATGCATTTGTTACATGTTTAATTAACCACAGAAAGATAAATAACAAATTTCATAAAAATAATTAAGCAAATATTGATTTAAGTGGTAATATATATTACTACATAAGCATCAATTTAATACGCATATAAATCTAAAAATTTGATTTTATCACGATACAGTAGGATCACACTATGGGGGTTCACTTTACACAAATCAAACGAGCTCATAGCGTGTAATGGTTGCATTTGTCATTTGATGTTTAAAATTTATTTTATGTATCATGTATAAATTCGGATAAAATTAATCTTTTCATCGAGAAAAAATATAAAGAAAAGCAAATTTTTAACAAATAAAAGAAAAAATGTCTAAAAACAATAACAAATAAATTTGTTCGTTATAGCCTTGAAAAAAGTAATGTAGGTAAAGATAGGTATTTGATTACGGCGATTTTAATTAATTGTTAATTCAAATTAATAATCCAACTGTAGAATGTAAAAAATATGAATCATTTATTTTAATCCAATGTTAGTGAAAACTAATTCTAATGGCTTCAAATAATTCACTATAATATTTTAAAAGAAATTTTTAACTATTAACTATTTAATTAGTAATAATTCATATTTAATAACAAAAATTTAAGAATGTAATATTTTAAAATATA